CAGCTGGTGACTTTATCATGAGTACTGAATACATATGACTGTATCTACTTGGTTACAGATGTGTTTTTGTGTGGAAGTACAGTAGCAATTTTAACAAGCTTTGAAGGCTGCCGAGACCTACTGAGGTTCCGTCAGCGCAGCCTCGTGACTTCCTCTGGGAAGGGCTGGAGAATCTGAAAAGCAGACACACATATAAACACGACTGCAGAGCTAGTTGGAAAAATAGCAATGCTGGCCAGTGGGTCTCAGGTTAAACCATACAGGCCAAATCTAGAAGGAAAATTTGATTTAGTTATTACTCTGTTTTTCTGATTCACATAGAAGCAGGAAGGATTAAACCACTCTGAAACAGACTTGCAACACGTAGACAGTGCTCAGACTTAAATAAAAATCTATTTTCTTGGCTGATGGCCACATTTCCTTGTTTCTGTTTTCTGTTCAGATCAGTGAGACTGAAGCTAGATGTCTTGAAAAGCTCCTTGTGTTGCAAATATGGTTTTACTGTATACCTCCTAATGTCTTAGTAGTCATGTTCTGGTTTTGGCTACAGCCAGACAGTCCAAATCAGTGAGAATCTGCCAGAGAAGGACAATGTCTGGATTTAGTTCTGGATGCTTACCAAGTTCTTCCAATTTTTTTTTGAACCAAAAGGCTTCTAATTTCTTTTCTATGATACAAAGCAGGTATATGCCTGTGCTTTAACCATGTTCGACTGGATATTTGTTCTTGGAGATACAAAGTTCTTTCAAGGAATTGTTATTGAGTGTATTTGGACTAATCATATAAACATGCCATAAATATCCCTCAGGTGCAGTAAGAACAACAGATGTCAGCTCTATGTAGAATCCACCCAATATACGTATTGCCTCTTGAGTTAGGTGTAATTTACACTTGAATGAATGATGGGTAACATGAGAATATTTTAGATTAGCACACTACAAATGAAAGGATAGAAATTTTGTGGGTTTGTGTGATGTCATAATTCCAACACGTAATGAATTGCATCGATGTAACAGTTCATTTGGGTTTTTTTGGTTCAGATCACTGTACCACTCAAGAATGATGCAGCAGTGGTGAATGCATATAGAAGACCTCATTGTTTTAACATATATCATTATAGACATAATGCTGGTTAGTTTGTGCAAAAAAAAAAAAAAGGAATAATAGGCATTTCCCCTAAAACTATCCAGTGTTTTTGCAGAATGGTTGTAAAAACCCAATAGTCTGTGCTGTGCATATTTCCCCCAAAGTATACTTTATCCTTGGGAAGCAGTGGAGCAAGAAATATTTATTTTATCTTTCACTAGAAAGTTTTATATCAAATGTTTGCTCTATCAGTGCTCATGCAGTTGGAAAGATATGTTTGAGAAATGGTGTGGTGTGAGGTGGGAGCCAGGTTCTGCTCTCAGCTCTGTGGCAACTTGATGTGTGGGATTGGAGTCAATCTTCTACTGATTTCTGTACCTCCACTTCCACAACGGTGTACACTTTTCACGCTTTGAAAATTGCTTTCAGTCTTTATAGTGGTTTTATAAAGCACTATTATTTGAATTGGCTGTCACTATTCTCCAGATTACTTTTGTACATGAGCACTGAACTACTTCCTATATCTAATTTTACAGCTGCTTAGAGGCGTAGTGATTCATGTTTCTACAGAAAGGGGCAGAAGATATTGAAGCGCTTGCCTAAGATCACCTGAGAAGGCTGGGGCAGAAGAGGGACTCCTGTGCCCAATTTGGTCACAAAACACTGTGCCATCCTTCTAGATATTCCTGATATTTTTTGAGTATTCCAATATAGTTGATCAAGTACTTGGAATGGCTAGGACCACATTTTTTGAGTTTTCGAGGCAAGCAGGGTGCAACCTTTCATTCAGTTTGTGAATCCTATTACCATCACCCAAGCTTTTATTAGTTCAAGATCAAACTACTGGAAAATGCTCTACATGGTGCTACTGCAAAGCCATGAAAATAATCGAAGTGAGGTATACTTACACTTAAAGTTATTAATAGAGACTTGAAGCTGTGCAATGGAATTCATTTAAGATTTATTTGTGCGTGACTAAACTGAAAGAAACAAAATAATTTATATGCATCTATAGCTCATTACTGAACTTAACAGGCATCAGTCACTCTAATACCTAACACTCATGGAACAGATGCCATAAATGCTGATCTATTTTCTCCCTTAGTTAGCCAAATATCCAGTTTATTCCATAATCCTTCTCAGTTTTGAATTAATGGTGACTTTTTTAGGGATGAAGGTGGGAGACTATAATACTTCTTGATTTTTCCAACTTGATGAAAATCAATGAAACTGAAAGGAAACTCCCTCATGCTGTTGTTAATGCTCACAGTTTCATTCAGTGAATTTGCCTGTATGAAAAATTAGCTGAAGACAATATAAACTAATTTTGCTTCCTGAAAAATGTCCATAATCTAAGACTCCAATTCAGAGCTGATATCTAAGATTTCCAAAGCATGGTGTGGTAGTAAAATGAAAGAAGTACTCAAAAAGTTGAAAATATATTTTTTTTCCTCTTGAGTAAAGGATACCAAGAAAACTATTTTCAAAAGAATAATAGTCATATTATTGTTACTGAAGAAAGTGTCCTTCTGCCAGCCACACCATTATCTCAGTGGGGCTTTGCACTGGAAAAATGTTATTAGCTACAACACCAGGCTCCACAAGAGTTAGATATGTCATGTTTTAGAGGACAAGAATACAATACTTGTGATATCCTTGTTGCACAGAGGAAATGGCAGTGTCTGATCTTGATGATATTTTAAACATTGGAAATGCCAGAGGTCGTGGTGAGCTGTAATTCTTCTCAGAATAAGTGGTGAACGTGTGGTGTTGAATTTTCACTGAAAGGGAGAAAAAGCACATACAGAACCTAAAAAAAGGTGTGATGAACAAAATAAGCCAAAAATTTTGAGAGTGTGAGATTAAAAACACCTGAGGAAAACACCTGAGGAGAATGACTAGTGTAGTAATAAGGTGGCAGTGAACTGAGCTGGACCGTTCACTGTTTATATCAGGGCTGTGACGCTAATGGCACTTCTGCATGGCTGATCTGCTGTTGATGGGACTGTTGCTTAAAGCATCTTAGTTTGACTCAGCTAAATTTCGTATTGGTCTCAACTGCAAAGATATCCCTTTTAGTATCCTTTCCTAACATACCGAGGGAGGAACTTCCCCACTTTTTAACTCTACAATGTTGTCAGTATGTTTGAATGATCAAAAGAGACCAAGTTGTCTCACCTTAGTGACTTAAGCCTTTTCAGAAGACTACAGTGGCTGCAGGCCTAGCTCATTTTAAATGTGGACTCAAGTGTGTTTACATACTTCCACAATCACTTCAAATTATCTTTCTTTTCTCCTGCACAAAACATGTTGCAATCATTGTACCTTGATTTAAGAAAAGGCTTATGGGACAGTGAACTATAGAAAGAAAATACTCTTTTTTCTTAATGAAGATCTGAAAGTGTAAAATCCCACTTTCTATTCATGTTAAACATAAAAATTGAAAAAATTTGATCAATAGATGTGGCTGTGTTTTCTAACCACTTATTTGACTTACTAATAATCCATCTTAAATTCCATAGCCTAATGCCTCATTTAATCATTTCTTTCATACGGAAGTCCAATTTACAATTAAATCCAATTAAAAAAATAAAAGTTATTCTAGTTATTCAGAGCAATAAGCACCATTAAAAGGAAGTACAGAGAAATAGAATAGAAATTATATGGACAATAAAAAATGTCCTTCTCATAGCTAAAAATAAATGCTTAATCTTAGTTTTACAAAAACAACATAATTCATCAAACTGTTGTATTTCAAAACCAGACAGGCTTCAGAACAGTAATATAGTCAAATCTTATTGAAATGTGGCTTGACTGAAATTTAGATAATTACAGACTGTTTCAAGAGTTTTCCAGTTGTTTTGGGGAGCTGGTCTCAGCTGAATGACTGCAAGGTAAAGAACAAACTCAAACTAAACTTTCTTGAGGGAAAATGTTTGTTAAAATATGGTAAAATAAACAGGAAACATCAGAAGGTTTGAAAGCAGGGGAGTGACACAGACAACAGCAGCATGCTGGAGGGAAAAATTGCTGAATTTTCCTTATCAAAGAAATGAATGAGATTAACATATCGTTTTGAACCTCTTCAATGCTGTGTTGAATTCCTACTTAAACCTAAGGATCAACTCAAAGATCCCAGTCATTAAGCTCTCAAATCCTCAGGGGCATGTGCTTGGAAGAGATGACTTGTGGGAACAAGATTTAAGTTGATGTAAGTTTGAGTGGAAGGTGGTTTGCTAAACTGACCATCTTGTCCATGACACCAGTATTGACCAGCAGGAACCACAAGACTGTGCCCCACGGGTAAAATCTGTGACCAGCTATAGGTCATCGATGGATAATCTTGCTTCTCAAACATCTGGGTAACCCTAACTCTTACATGATTCAGCACAAAATTTGTTTCCCAATTTCCAGTGTCCAAGTAGTTTACAAATCCTTTGCAAGGTTACACATTTTGGTTTTAGTATCTGAATCCTAAATCCTATCTGCTATATTCAGACTTACCATCTTTGTCTGCTAAACACTAGACCTGCTGCTTTCAGCTCGCTCAGCTCTGGATTTGATTTGGTCTCCAGCAATTACCAGGAAGGCGGTTGCTATAGCTGCACTAATGAAAGGAGTAACCATGTTTCCTTGAAGACAATGTAAGCAACATAAATAAACAAATGCTTAAATATAAGTGGCATTAATAGTGTAAATGAGATATTACTACAACAGGGAAAATAAGATTTTAGCCACTTTCAGTGGCTTGCTATATATCAACCTTCCAACTTCCTACTCAATACTTAGCTTGAGCTGACACAACTTTTTTGTGAGATATTGAAAGTGTTATTAGCTTTATAGGATTTTCTTCTTCATCATGATGTGAGTCACATTTTTGTTGTATTTGTTCGTGTATTTGTTCGTTTTTCCAGTGACAGTCTGTCTCCATAATTTTGCCGATTCCTGTTACGGCAATAACAAGCACATAGATGGAGGTACATGCCCAAAGCCAGGAACATAAGAAAGTTTTAATTTAAAAAAAATCCAGTTAAGTTGCGCTGAACTTTGTCAACTCTGGTTCACTGAGTTTAGCTTTAAGTGTGATTCTTTTCTGACAAGTGACTGTAAAAACTGTATCACACATTGTCACGTTTGTGTTGCAGTGGCTCTGTATCAATTTTGTTCAGGATGTTGTTGGATTATTTTTAAACTGCCAGACCTACCAATGAACCAGAGATTTGAAGGTCATGCTGTGTTCAGTCTCATGCAACACCAACAATAATGACATTTCTGAGAAATGAAATCTCTCACTCACCTTCAAAGCAAACCGCTTCAGTGTCTAGGGCAGACTGTGCTGTCAGATTTTCATGAAGCGGGAGTAAATCCATTCCACTGCCAAGCTAAAATGAAATCTCTCAAAACAAACTTGTGCTACATCTATGAAATAGTCTTACAATATTAGCATTATGTATTGTATTAAGGTGGCAAAGTTCAGAGGGGCTGATCCTGGTAGCTCATCGCGGGACAAGCTTCCATCACTGTAACAGAATGTGGGAATTGTCCTGCAGAGTGATTGCTGTAACAATACTATCCTTGTATTACTACACATCTGTAAGCAGGTGGTGTTACTTACCTGAATTATTCAGTACTCTTTTAACAGATTTTAAGCTTTCTGGAAAATACTGAGCAGTTTTTGCTAATGGCTGCATAATGCTAACTTACTCTCTTGTTACTTGGTTAGGACAGAGATATGTTTCTCTTTGGAGATACAGGGCACTGAAGGCATTGGACCAAGATGGGTTGGTGAATAAAATTAACAAAGCATATTTTAAAGCAAACCTCCTCTTTGCTCGATATTAAATATGTTTGGTGTTTTAAGAGAAGAAGTAAATATCACATGGTAAAATGACATTAGCTGGAAACACTGTCATTACTTTTCTCATCTGATTTTTGATTCTGATTTAGCACTCTACAAACTGTTTTCCTTTTCTTCTCTCTTTTATTTTACAGTCAACTTTGACCACTTTCAAATATTGCGGGCTATTGGGAAAGGGAGTTTTGGAAAGGTAAGAATCAATTTATTTTTAGCAGTTGAAAGTCTAACAGAGAATTCCTCTGTGTATGTCTGGTGTGACCTGAGTAGGGTAAAGGAACATAGGTTTTGTAGACTTTTTCTTCTTAAAACATCTGATCATCAGTATGAATTGACTCTGACTATTCATTAAGTTATTTCTGTTACAATACATTCAATAAAATTAATTGAGTAAAAATGATTGTAATAATTAAGTCTCCTCAGTGGGGATTAGCAGAATTTAAAAATCAGTACCCAAACCAAAAACAAATGAAAAAGTAGGAACAGACTACTTTTATAGGCAGTCCACTAGAGTGATCTTGTTCTTAAATCTCCAGACTTATTTGTGTCTTCAAAATAATTGCAGTATTTTAAAGGCACTTTACATAGATTCAATACGCTTGGGACTATATAAACTGACATACACTGTAATTATGATCATTGAGTAAATGTTTGTTCAATTCAACAGGCTTTTGCTGAAACAGAGAAGATTAATGGTTTGTTTACACATGAGTAGACGACCTGTCTTTCCTATAATAAAGACTATAACAAGGTTTTAAATTTTAGTATGGGTAAATACAAGGCCACACAGTCAGAGAAAATCATATTATAAAAATATTAGAAACCGTTACTCTCAGGAATACATTTGAAGGGGAAATATACCTTCAGTAACTGATCAAGCGATAGCTATCTAGATCTTGATTTCAATGATTCTTGAGTATATGCCAGCTGAGTGCCGGTGAGCTACTTCTGTACTTATACATTAACAACACACGCAGGACTTTGCTGGCTTTTGGCCTTCTGTGCAGAAAAATTACTGTCATTTTACAGAGGCCTGAAACACTTCTTGCAGAACAGCACGGTCCTTCACAGCATGGTCCTTATTCAGTTCAGTAGTTTCCAAGAGAAACCCTCTTTGAGGTCAATAGGAGAATATGCTGCTAGTGCAAAATGGTATTCAAGAATCCCTTAAAAATCAGGACAGCTGGAGATCTATAGTTGTTTATTATCACAATGCACTGATGGAATATCATGTCAAACTAAATAGAGGTCCAGGAGTGCAAGTTAGGTGCAGGATAAGCAGTTAAAGATATATCCAAATTATGCCGGCCATGATATCACCTGCAAATTTCACAAATATCACCTGCACCCCACTTTCTTCAAAGCTTCCCCATTTACACCTCTGCTGCCTCTGCCCTTTCAAAGGGACCCTCACCCTTCCACATCATGCAGGAAAATAAAGCAAGCATATGTGCCTTTTGAAGGCTTGTTGGTTGATGTCTGATTCACTCTTATTCATGGCATCCACCAGGAAACTGGTGAATGTTTCTATAATACTTCTAGAAACATCTGATTTTCTTACTGATTCATATGGCTGCAGTGTTCTTGTGAACCTGCTTTGGGGTATGTACGGGTGAGAACAGAGTTTCACAACCCTGAGAGAACATGTTTAATGCAAGAAAGGACTCATGCATAAGTCCCTTCTAAACTTAAATCCTTATTTTGCAGCTGTCAAATGCAATAGAAGAGTCCCTGGCGTAACAGGCTTATTTTTCCCAAATGAATACAAGCTTCTGACCAATCACCTTGTTTCTCCTTCCACAGACCAGGAAAGAAAGAAACCCATTTTAAAATGACCTATTATACCACAGCCAAAAGCACAACATAGTAAATCAGTCGCTGTTTCAAGTGTCTTTCTCTGTGAGTCAGTCTTGCCTTTATCACTCATTTCGAAGCCTTGTTGCTGGCAACTTTTCCTATTACTGTCCTTCTGGAAGTACCTGGCAGCAGAAAACATCAACAAATGATGCAAAACCTCTAATCTCTATTGACTTGCTGTTTACTGCTTGGAGCCTATTGTGCTCCAGCATCCTGCAACATGTAACACCACGTTCAGTATCACGCCTTCCTTAAACTGCCTTCTTCCTTTATGGCTGTCCTGTGGCCGTTTGTGTTTTCTGACAGCAGTAGGATGTTTTAAGACATGCTCTACTTTTTTATTTTATTGCTGTTGGTACAATCATCTCTTTCTCAATATTTCTTAAATTACTGTAGTTGCTACAGCAACCTTAGGCTGCTGCAGGAGGTATCTGATATGGCAGAGATTCCATGCAGCGTGGCTCGCTCTTGTGCACAGAGCTCAAGGTGATCCTCAGCACCTCACCTCCTCCATCGGTGCCGACTGCTTCAGCAGCAACACTCTGTCCCTCCCAGCTGGCTTCAGAAAGCCTTCCCTGCCTTTTCCTTTGGCATTTTCAATTCACAGTAGCAACATTTGCTGTTGCAGGAATTCCTAGGCCATTTGGTATCAAATGCTTTGTAACTCAAGAGCTTGTCTTTTCTGAGAAGTGGCCACCTGTTTTAAGTGACTGCCTCAGTACATGCTGTTTCTTAGGGACAATGTTAAGAGCAGGTGCAGTCTTGTACGCACTGTAGCATCTTCCCCAGGAAAAGTGAAGATGCATCGCAGCAGTTGTGAGGAGTGTAGGACGTGGGCGTGGAGAGAAGAGAAACAAGGAGCATGCTCCTGTTTCCAGAAACAACCAGACTTGCTTCTCTCTGCTTGGAAAGGTGTCTTTTTGGAGCTCAGGTTGCTCCCTGGTCAGGGACAGATGAAGATGAGCTCTGAGCCTGTGCAGGACCGCTGCAGCCACAGCTTCTGTGTGAGTCGGTGGTTCTTTTGTTCAAGCCGAGTGACATGCGAGCTAAGGCAGACTGGTGTGTGACCACTCACTGAATACTTGTCCCCGCTCCTGAGCACGTGTATACATCCCTGGTGTATGTATCTGTACATACAGACACTGGTACAGACCTGTGAGCTGCTGCAGTGGTGGCAGTGGTACCCAAGTGAGGTATGTGGCCTTTCTGGCTTCAGTGACCTTGCTTTGCTAGGTAGATGAAGGTAGCTCTTTGCTTTGGTGTCCTCACATGTAACAGGAAACGTTTTATTATTTTTTAAAAGACCTTTAAGCTAGTTATGCTTGGCATGCTCCAGCTATTAGTATTTTCAAATAGATTTGAAATGGGCCATGTCAGAAATTTTGTCCAAACAAGTTTTATTCATATATTAAATGTTTGCCTTCTACATCAGTTCAGAAGTAGAAAATTTAAAATACTCAAACCCAAAATGCTGAACACTGGTCTAAGTAGTTATTTCTTTAAGCCATGTGATACCTTAGAAGTGGTCACTCGTGTTAAATCTGGCTAAATTTTTCCATTTTGTTATATGTAGAGCCATCATTCTTATTGCAAAAAATTACATATTTGAAGATCATCCAATAAGTACAAAACTGACTAGGAGTGAGAGGAAGAATTATCGTTGTTCTTTACTGCAACAGTAACCATATAATTGCAAGTTTACTGCCGCAAAATAATTTGTATTCAGGTGCAACAACTAGTTTTCAGGGATATTATAGTACCAATTTTCTTCAAGTTCTCTGTTCATGGGAGCAGGTATATTGAACCATCTGACCTCCTTAAATTAAATTCAAATTATGATATGAATGTACAGACTCTTTCTCCTATTTGTTTAAGATGCTGAGACACAGGACTTAGTTCTGATTAATTTGCTTGCATGAAACAGTGACTTCCTCTGCTGAAGTAATGGAAATTACACTGGTGTGAAACAGATGGGGGCCCAGAATCACGTCTGCACTGATCGAGGGTACTTTACTAAATAATATGCAAAGTATTTCAGAAAAAATATGCTGCTATCCTAAAAGCAACCGCACAACTGCAGAATATTAATATTGTTTGACAGTATAAACACCTATTTTTTAAGCTTGAGTTAATATGAAAGGAGATGAAGCAGATGCTTGGGCCCTGCTCCAGCTGTCGTGGTTTGCTCGGGGGAATCTGGGAATGAATCCCCCTGTTTCAAGGAAATTCCCTGGCAGTGTAAAGCCAAACTCCAGCTTCTTTGTGTAAATCTTTCCAACTCTGCTTGTAGGCTGAGACTATGAGCATTAATTTTTCAGAGTAAGTGGGTAAGAACAGACAAGGTAGCAGTATTTCAGGCACGTGCTTCATAGCAGATTTGTCAGTTTCCACACTGAGTGTGAAACATATACCTGATTTCTGCCCTGTAGCCCCCTACGTCTAGGTGAGTGTCAATTCCCTGACAGTGTAAAGCCAAACTTATGACATCTATTCTCCAGCTTCTTTGTGTAAATCTTTCCAACTCTGCTTGTAGGCTGAGACTATGAGCATTAATTTTTCAGAGTAAGTGGGTAAGAACAGACAAGGTAGCAGTATTTCAGGCACGTGCTTCATAGCAGATTTGTCAGTTTCCACACTGAGTGTGAAACATATACCTGATTTCTGCCCTGTAGCCCCCTACGTCTAGGTGAGTGTCTTCTGCCCGTGCAGTGCCACAGCCCCTCCGTTGGGCTGTGATTACTCATGGCAGCTATAGCTGCCCCATCTGATCTACTCACCTGATGTAAGATGCATAAGATTATGACACAGGAGCACAGATGAAGCGTGTGCTCCAGCTGCCAGCTCTCCACCTAACAGTGACCTTGCACAGAGGAGCTTTCTCTGACTGCGGTTTTGCATCTCTCCTATCTTATGACCTGTCATGAAACCATATCCTGTGGTAGTTTCAGACATCTAAGTACTCATATACCAGATTCAGACCAAAATGGCTTTACTGAGACTAAGAGCGCCTGCTCCCTGATATTCTTTCCGGGCCAAACACCGTGTATCCAAAGCAAATGAATGGGGATTCATATTGCCTGCCTTTAAACATGCACAACACAGATGCCTACATTCAAGCTAGTCATCTACAGTCTCTTTAGAGGGACTTTGGAAGAGAAACCATCCCTCTACAGATGGTTCCCTGGGCCTATTTAGACCATACCTTAGGTGGAGATGGATGTGCCTGTCCCTATCTGCTGACTATGAAGCTGGATAGCTGTTGAGTTCGTGATAGTTATGTTTGGTTTGAAGCATCGCCTATAGAGACTGCTGAAGCAGTGATATCAGTTTGAGCAGCGCACTGTCTGGGCTTTGGTAAATTATATTCATATAAAAATTGAAAGAGGATGTTTTAGTAATGTGAGCGTGACAAGCTTCCATATTGATATGTGTAAATAAGGCAATTCTGCACAGACTTCCACAATAATGAGTCATCACAGAATTTGTTTGTTGAGGTGCCAGAGCACCTGTTTGTCCCTATTTTAAAATGACTCCTTCAGAAAGAATTTAGACCATAAACAAAAAAATCCTCAAAACCCCACAATTTAAACATTTCCCATTAGGACTGCACAGGTGAGGAGAGCTTGAGGGCTTTTCCTTTCTTTCCTGCAGTAGTGGAAAAGTTTCAGCCCATTCACGTCCTGCTCCAAAGAAGAGCTAACAGCCAGCAGGTAGAAATGTCAGGGAGGATCTCCACTACTATTCAGCACTGTCATAGCAATGTCAGGCATTTTTCACAATAACATCCATATGGATGCAGCTTCGTTTTCCTGATGTTTAGTAGGAAGCAGCTTCAATATATTCATTAAAATCCTATTGATTTTGAAACCATGTTAAAAGATGTGCGTAGGTACACATTACTAGAAAATGTTTACTATCATTCTACTTAAGCTGTATGTGAGGCAAGTTTCTACCAACAACAGAAGGTCTGTTTCAGCTGTGCTGAATGCCCTTGTCTTTACTGGCAGGTAAGAGAACTGGGTGCCTTCTGGAGTCACAGCAGTGTTTCAAACCTGTTTACATTACATATATAGGTGCTGTATATGATCCTAGTTTGCTGCATTGAACAAACCTGTAACTCTCAGCTGAGTAAACCCCCATTCTCTTAGCAGTGTCACTAGTCAATGGTTCAATATTTACATTATATATGTAGGTGTTGTATATGTTAACAAACCTGTAACTCTCAGCTGAGTAAACCCCCATTCTCTTAGCAGTGTCACTAGTCAATGGTTCAATAGAATGGCTTTTTATGTAATGGAACAGGAGACATCTGCGAACACCTCAGTCTTGGCCAAGTTTCAGATGAAAATCATGTTGCAGATTCATGTAAGTGAATGAACTTCTGGACTTAGATTCTGAGCCAAAATCCATAAACGTTCTACTTTATAATGTGATTCACTAAATTGGAGTGTCCACATAATCTCATACAGGATGTCAGGAATTGCCCCTGCAAATTCTGCTTATACTTTTGAAGAACCTGTGGAAGCTTGAACAATTCATTTCCATCCCTCCATTTCAGTTCAACTCCACCTGCTACCTCTTCTTCCCCCAAAAGACCAACCCCAGTTCCCCAGTATTCCACAGCCTGGGTTCTTTACATATAACTGTGAACCTTTAGTTATCTTACGGGCATCACCAGCATTCAGACTTTCCATAACAGCCCAAAGAGGAAAATGAAACAAAACTTGGGTACTCACCATTGTGCAACATTGATGGGCTCAAGACAAAACATTACCATCCATGTTTCACTTAATTAGCAGAACATGTCCTGTTATTAGGGAAGGTAATTAGAAACTCTGCTTAATCACACCTTATCATTATAGGTTAAAAGTACTCTATTAACTCCTCTCGTTGGAGTAGATTTGAGCTCAAGGACACACTTCATGAAAATAGAGCAGCAGAGAAATAAATGTGGTTTGGTTTCACTGGCCCAGGTCCTCTTGGAGGGACTGGAAAAAGATAGAGGAACTAAAATATCCCGATGGCATTCTCCTGGAGCCTTCCCCCTGCATTTAAGAAATATGTGACCACACAGTAGGTCTCTCTAGGGTCTTCATCCTGGCACTGGTGGTTCGTCACCAGGTCCAGAATCTAGATGACGTCTTGTTAAAGTCAGAAGTTTCAGCTGTGGGAAGTTGTCTTAGTTTCTCCAGACCATTTCTGAATTTGGAGCATGCAATTTCCTTAAAAACAACTCAGAACCACAGGATTTATTTTTGGTTGGCACCATGTTGTAATCTGATCCCTGAACATTAATTTTATGCGTGTATACTACAATTTTATGTGTGTATAATATGGGAGTGTGTATGTGTGCATGTGTGCATGTATATAAATAGACATATAAAATAATAGGGCCCACACCAAGTGAATCCAGAATATCTTTGAATTTAGACACTACAGAGTTGTGATATCTAAACCAGACACTTCCAGTACATAGTCTGTATACATCCTGATGATGAAAAATTCTGATTGGAGCCTATTGCTGTATCAGTAATATAAATGTTGCACCAAAATAATATTTTCAACTAATGTTCTCTTGGCTGTGAAGACACACCAGGAGTGTCACTTACAAAGGTCCTGATCAATTAACAGGAAAAACCCTTCAGAACAGAAGTCTGTTGAGGATATAGTTATGCTCTATGTGTGTGTGTAGGGCTGTTATGAAGATGAGATTTACACCAGCTTTGGGGATGAGACACAGAACAATCTTATATTTCTGTGTTGCCAGAAATCATATTTAAAATTCTGGTTCTTGGATGTGGTGCTGGTGACACTCTCCAGCTTCATTCACAAGGTAAACTACCATGACGAAAAACAATCTAGGCCTTACATGGGAGTTCTCTTGACTAATATTTTCTTCTTGCATTTACAAAATTATTTGACTTTTGTAAAAAAAAGAAAACAAAATTAAAGCAAAGCAATTTACTGCCATTACAAATCATTGTAATGGTCTCTTGTGACTTCAAAAATGTGATGAATCTCTGTATGAATTCTTTTTTTTTTTTCAACAATAATTAAGAGAGCATAATTCTGATATTTAGATGAAATATTGAGCCTTGTGAACATAGGCTATGTTTATGATGCACTAATCAAGATGTGTGTATTGACTTGTGGGAATAAGGACAACGTGCATTTTTCTAGGCAGGAGGCATTAATTTCTGTGACTAATGAAATAGCCTGCGTTCGAGCAATTGGAGTGTATTCCTCCCAGCTTTACCATGTAACTTCTGAAAGTTTCTTCTTATGCAGGAGTGGGTTGTTCTTTTGTTAATTTGTTAATTACAATCTGGTACAAAGAATCCTGCTGTGATTTGGACTTTCTGAAGGTGTTCCTAGGTTGTACTATCCAGATCTGGATTATTGAAATATCATAAAAGGTTCCTTTCTTGCCAAAGTCACAGCTAAGTTTCCTGTCTGTAGGTGTCAAACTTTTTTTTTTCACTTTGCTGTCAATTAGGTGTGCATTGTACAGAAGAGAGACACCAAGAAAATGTATGCCATGAAATATATGAATAAACAGAAATGCATTGAGAGAGATGAAGTTCGAAATGTTTTTCGAGAGCTACAGATAATGCAAGGCCTGGAGCATCCCTTCCTAGTCAATCTATGGTAAGTAAACCTTTAAAATTCTATCAAGGACCTCTTGTTTTCTCCTTATTGCTGAATCAGTTCAGGCTGTGGAAGGCTGGAAAGTTGAAAAGTAGGAAAAATTTTTGGTCACCTCTTTTTTTTTTTAGGTATTTAGGTTTTGTAGAGGGCTTTATTTTTCATTAATATTTTAAAGATGCCCTTTTGCATTGGAATATCTAAACATCACAGTCACCTTTTCACTTCTGGTTTGGTTTCTCTCCCAATTGGTACAGCAGTATGTGGAAATGTGTTATTCTGTCCAGCTTCATCATTTCTTTTTGACAATACCTGGACTAAACATCTGTTACAAGGCTGTGGAATATCAAACCCAGCCATTCAATTTAATTTTTTTTTTAGTTGATTCAGAGAAAATTCAGAACTCAATTGCGTTTAAAAAATGGCTGACATGGAACAACAGAAAAGCATCTTTTTGTCACCTGGAATTCCTCTTACCTTCCCTGTGCTAGCCACCGAATTCCTTGGTCACATATGAGTGTGAGAAAATGTTGGTCAAGTAATGACTAGCTTCAACTACACCACCAACATAAAATATTTGCTGGCTTTTATGTAGTGATAGTAGTAATAGGATGCAGACTTTTCCTCTGTTATCTAAAAATTACCTATATCATTTTAAAAAAAAGAGGGGACCCATAAACCATTATGATATGAAAATTGTTCAGTTCAGGAATAGCTTGATTGGCTGCAGATGGTCACAGTGCAAACAGAACTTCTGATTTGTGTTTTAGCTGTCTTACTAGAGGTCAATGCCTAACCTACAGTCTCACATCCATCCTTTAGCTCACTCTTGGCCTGTAGAGGTGAAAAATTTCCTGTTGCCTGCTTAGGACCTTTCATGAATTAAAAGCCAAATTATGTTCTGGCTTGAGTGAACACAGCTTTATGATAATTGCACTCATTTATACCAGCAAAGGATTTGATCTCAAAATTCATTCAAAAAGGACCTAATCATATATATATATATATATGTCTCAAGTGGTCTCCACTTGGCATGAATGATCATACTTGAGCTAACCTAATATCCTGTTGGAGGCTTAGAGAAATATGCAAACATTGTGACTGTAAAACAAAACTTTCCCAGTATATTTTCCAAGGTTCCAGCAACCTGGAATCTGGGGATTTCTTCACCAAAGATGTGGTATCTCTGTGCTTAAGAGCCTGTGGATTTTTCTTTCATGCGTTTGTCTAATCTCTTTTGAACTCATACAAACTTTTGTTCTTTAACAAAAGGTGGCAAAGATTTCCACTATGTAACTAGACACTATGCAGAAACAGTCATAGGTTAACATGATCTACAAGGTACTTCAGTAAACATAACAATGCTGAAGGACTGAAGATCAAATATTTATTGTGAAACAAAAATATGCTAGATTCCAATGACTCTATTATAATCAGCTAATAATTTTTCTTTCTTGTTCTCTTTTTTTCATGCCAAAGATTAAACTTGAAATAAGCAATACCATAAAATGTGCTGGGTGTGATGATGATTTTTATTGCAAAGAACTAATTTATTCTTCTTGTGCTTCTGAGATACTGTCACAAGACCTCAAGACTAAAATGTTATACTGTATGTGCGTATGAGAAATGCAGAAAATGAAAGCTGTAGTACTCTAGAATTAATGAAACAATTCAGGCAAAAAGGACACTATTCAAGATGTGCCAGTGCACTAACAATGTTCTATACTCAATATCTCTAGCAATCCTTATAGCTGACCAGTCTATCTAGGATACTTATTAGGTAGAATTACAAGATTTTTCTTTGAAGGGAAGGCACGGGGGAGCTGCCCACCCATCATATCACATAATAAATGGCAGGTCACCTCCCATGGATGGGGTCTGAAATTTATCACTGGCATTAAATCTCGTGATCCAGCTCAGCAGCCAACAGTCCTGTCTCCCTGTCACCAAGCTTAGTTTTCATGTCTGTGGTATGAGACAGAAGAACATGGAATAGTCTGAAGACTTACATCCACATCTAAAATCAGTGCCCATGTTCAGGGATAGTCTTGAGAAGACATGCAATTTGCTTGTACAACCATTCAACCCCTGCTGCCTTAGCATCTCAGTGCTTCACAGCCTGAAATGCCCATGTAGACAACATACTTTGATTCTCCTTAGGGCCAAAACATGGATGTGTGAAGGTATAGCTAACCTAGTAGGTGAAACAGCATCCAGGAACATTCCCAGGTGCTGCTTGATGTAGCTGGACTTGCCCTTGGCACGTGCCTGTGCCATCTGAGCCAGTCCCTTCCCAAACAGCTCCTGGGATAGTTCCAGAGTCACAGTGTCCTAGTGTCAATGTGGTGTGGCCACGGCCCTTCAGCAGCAAGGACGTCCTAGCAGAGGCATGAGCTGCTCCCTGCCAGCTGGCCTGAGTGCTTGGAAATGCTCCCCAGCGTGTTTCATCTATGATAACCAGAGCAGCTAACTGAGAGTAGGACATCCTACTCTAGGGACCTCCATCCTTCCTGTTGAAGGTGGACAGCTGTGTAGTCAAACCCTGGATATATGAGACTCTACTGAGATTCAGGGTCTTGGACACACACAGTTAGAACTGTAGAAAATTTTCCAAGAATAATTTCACTGACACTTATTATTTTCACCTGAAGTGTTCACTCAAACATTACACATTCAAATATCTACTGATTCAAAGCTCTGACTCCAGAGTGAGCTACTGAACTACTACAGAACCTATATTTCACCCTGGGCTAGCACAACAAAGGAAAGTCTTGAACACAAGCCCCCCCAAAATAATCTATCCTACCCCAAATAACTCATTCTTTGTACCCGGTCCATAATATGTTTCTATAATTAGCCTTGCACAATCCTAAATTATTTTGAAAGAGATTCTGATATATTTCTGGAGTGTCTACAGTTGCAGACTGTAGTTGCATGTTCCAGACTTCTGAATCTTCTATCTCAACTTTTGCCTGAATTTCAAGATGTTCTACAAGTAGTCTTCAAATAATGACTTCTGTTATTGAACAACAAGGGCAAAACACAAAAATCACAAGTGACCCATGAATAGTGGTCACCTGTTCTATTAACACTAAGCCATATGAAGCTCTTAAACCTATCAATTATATTTTATTTATTTATAATTGAAACTAAGTTTTATTTTTTATTTACTACTATGAAAAAAGGAACACTGCAAGTACAAATGGAATATTCCTTAAACATAACAGCATTTTCATTGATTGCTGGTGAATTAGCAACCCATTTAATGTATTTTTACTTGTAGTTTAGATGCAATAATAATTTGCATCAAATACATTTACATTGTATAACTTACATTAGATGATTAGCAGGAATCCATGAGATTTCCTCTTATGAGTCAATTCCTGGCATACTAATGGAAGGAAACAGTTGAGGCTACATTTCTTCTATAACAATTGCAGCTAGATTTGTGTTTCATTTTTCAGAGTTAGATTTTTTCTATTAATTTTGTTAATTGCATTGTAAATGTACAAATGGGCTGCAACAGGAGCTACTAACTCTATCTTGTTTCACAAAGTGGAATATTAATTTAACAGGGAACAGTTATGTCATGGTGTATGGGCAATAACACAGCTGTAGCTTGTGTAAATGTCAAGTTTCTTTCGACCGGGCTGTTTTGGACTAGTCTGTCTTTCTAGGCTCTGTCACGCTTTCTAAGGTAACATATCAGTTTTCAGAAATCCTGCCTAAGGTAAGATTTTGGTGACTAAAGCTCAGAAATCCCATCCCTAAATTTAATTGTCATCTCCCTACTTAGCTGGGGTATCAAACTTTGATTTCCCAAGGATATTCAGAAGTAATTATTCTGAGAAGGTAAGTACCAATCTGCCATCTAGAGCTCTGCTGCAGTCCCCACATCAGTAGACAGCTACTGACACTGTTCACTTAACTAAAAAACCACTAACCCTCCTGGAGAAAGTCAGAAATCCAGTTACAGGTAAGACTGAGACTAAGATGAGTAGTGGTGCACAGGTTTTCCAAAATGGTTTAATTGTGGTGTATGTGCATTTTACATTAGATTGTCTTGGATAAAAACTGAAAACAGACTTTGGATTAGGAACTGTACTAAAGTGTGTTTGCACAAAACACTTTGTGGGCTTGCGGTTAAGCAGTCATGCAGTCTGTGACGAATTGGGGATCCATCTGCCCATGCTAAGGGGAGCATAGAGATCATGTCTCCTGCTTTCCAGATGAGCTGACTACACAAAACATAATGATAGTGCCAACAGCTGTGTTGATAGAAATTAACCCGTCTTATTTGCCCTTTGCAATGTCAGTGAAAAGTAATTAGTTGGCAGGACCAGTCTGGATGACACTTCAAAAGTCTTCAGAAAAAACTACATTTTCCATTGATTTGAAAGGGAAATTAAGTACTTATTTTGGTTGCATTGTCCCTTCCCCTTGATTCCCTTCCCCTCTAATCCTCAGTTATAGGAAGCAAGATTTAAGCTTAGGTAGGTAGCCTGGATCTGATCTGCTGTTCTTTTGTCTGGAAGGGATATGCACGATAAAAAAAATTAAGAAATTTTATTACTAAAATACTTGCAGTTTTTTACAAAGTATCATTTTCTGTAAGAACAGCTTCAGTGTTATCAGAATTTATTCTTTTGCTTTTGGACACATTAAAATCCCAAATCCATATTGAAAAGTATATTTGGAAGAAACTCCACTCATGACAACCTTTTCATGAGTTTGTGGGACTACCCCTGGCCAGAACTGCTGATTTTCAAATGTTAATCATCTGAATTATCAAGATATATAATAAAATTAATATAGTGGTAAATGTCCCAACAATTCCTTGAACCAAAAGGAACACTAACCAAGTGCATTAGTCTTTCCTTGAGGAATTACATCATCAAAGAGAAAAGTTGGCAACTCAAGAAACAAACATAAAGACTGGAAAGGTCTTCGGTTATACGTGATAACTGCACAAAGACGTAATGAGATATAGGTTAACAATCTGT